GCAGTCATTTCCACTGCAGCACAATTGCTTGGGCTGCTCTTTCTGTCAGTAATTAGCCAACAAGTTCCGTTGCATGTTTCTGCTCCTCATTAAAACGTCATCAAGTCAGGCCTAATTTCTATCTTGTGTGGGTACAGACAGGCTCTCACTGTCACTGTTGAGAGGACAGGGTCTAGGAACCAGGTCTGTTTTAGAACATGTCCCTATTTACATGACCTTGGAGCAGAGAAACTTTCTAACCATGACATCAGCTCAAATCCTATGGGAAAATAGAAACTGGATTGCCTAGTATAAAACATGAAGGATTCTTTACGTGACAAGAAGCATTAACCATATCAACACTTTTGCTCAAGCCAAGTATTTTCAAAAAACGTTTCAGAAAATTAATGATGAATTAATTTAGCTACAAGCATGTCCACTGATGTTTTTAAAAGATGATTACATACAACTGTAAATGCTCTAAATATCCAACAGCAAGAGAATGAATAAATGACTCTATCCATGTAATAGAATACTATTCAGCAATTAAAAATAATGGCCCTTCCTTGACATGGAAAGCTGTTTACCCTATACTGGCTGTCAGATTGGTAGGTTCCAAAATAGGATGGGTGACGTGAGCTGATTTTGGTAATAAAAAAAGCAAGTACCCACACATGGGATTGACAGAGGTAAACCCAACTTGTTAAAAAGGGATTTCCTTGGGTGAGATGATTATAGATTTTTATCTTCTTTATTCTTAACTGCCTTTTCAAAAGTTTCCTCCATGAACTATCTTAACTTTATAATAAGGCTAAGAAAGTACAAGTCAGTAAAAAGGAGAATTTCATCTGTCACTAGCGCACTGCTGTCTTTTAATTTGGCTAAGAGCACATTGCAATGGGCTTTTTAACAAGCCTTAATAACTCGGCTTTTTAGTGTGAATATTCACTCTGATGCCTGGACACCTCCAGTCTTTAGAGTTACAGGCTTCTCCAAGATCAAGGCACCTTCCACTGATTTTAATGTTCCCTGGTGAGATGAAAGAGTCAGAACAGTGGCCAGCTGTAGAATCACTATGCCCGAGACACGCTTTCATCACAGAAGACAGGACGCCTGGCGGGACCAGGAAGTGGTCAGAGGGAGTTGGGTTCTGGTTTTGACAAGGGAAGAAGCCCACTGTTGGGGAGGGGTGAGGTGGGTGCAGGAGCTGAGCCTGCCAAGGGGCCGGGTTGGGTGGGGCATCTGCCATGGTGATGGAAAGCAGGTGCTTCCTTAGTGGTCTCAGATGAAATGGGGCTGCAGGAGCTGAGGCACAGAGCATCTGGGGATAAAACGCTGATAGAAATAGAGAGGGTGGGAGGGGGAGAGAGACACACACACAGAGATGGAGAGAGAGAAAGGAGGAGGGGAGAGGGGTGCAGAGATCAGACCTAAAAGAGCAAGGGAGAGACACAGAGGGAAAAATGGCCTGTGTGGGGGAGGGAACAGAGGGGGACAGAGATGGAAAATGAACAGAGCAAAGGACACACCTAGAGAAAGAGGCACAAACAGGGACACACAGAGAGATGTGGGCACACATACACACAGGGCCCTGCAGGGGAGCCAGGGACGCTTTCAATAACCTGCTCAGCACAGTGCCCAGGGCAGGGCGAGTGGCGGGCGTGAGGGCAGGGGGCAGGACAGCCTCTTTTTGCGTGTCTTTGCCAGCCAATGCAGAGTTCTCCTTGAGTTAAAAGTAAGTTCTCAGAGTAAAGTTCCTCCTTCCTCCAGGGCCTGCTCCCCAAAGAATCATTAAGACAACATCACCACCACTCACAAGGTCATCGTGTCTTTCCCAGAATTCTGGGGGGCCACACACAGTTTATTAGAGAACCACATTCCAGCCCAGCCCCTACCTGCAGCCCTTCATACTTTCTGTGCACACACGGCCCCCAGTGCCTGCATGGCCAGGGCTGCTCCGTGGACGGGGCCAAAGGCTGCAAATAATGAATGGGGCTTTTCTCCACAAAGCGGTCTTGTGATGATGGCTCAGCTGTCAGGATGTTATTCCCGCCTTTGATAAGCTCAGAACCAGCACCCAGAGGGGAAGGCTGGCAGGAGGAGGGAGGGGAGCTGGGAGGTTCAGCCAGTGCCAGGCTGAGAACCAGTCACCACACACACACACACACACACACACACACTCTCTCTCTCTTTCTCTTCCTCTCTCTCTCTCTCTCTCTCTCTCTCTTACTTTACTTGCTTCAAGGCTGGTGAAAGGATTTGCCTAGACATGGCTCAGCCAGGCTGATCTGTGAATGCTGGAACTCTCAGGCGTACTGGCCGCTGAGAGACACCTCTGCTATACTGTCTGGGGGGATCCACAGGATTGAACTTGGGGACAGCAGCTCTCCACAGTTCTGGATGATGCAGCATCCATTCCCATCTGGGAAGAGCCTCCTGCATCCCCTTGGGAGGTCACCGCTCCAGGACATCACGGTTGGACACTAGGGTCCATGGCGGGCTCACGCACCAGGGCTGCCTATGGCACATTCCAGCCTCCTGCCATTTCTGCTTGGTTAGAGACCAGCGTGTGTGTCCAGTTGGCTTGGGGAGACCCACCTGGCCCTCGGGCTATTAGCAGTGGTTGGGGCCCTCGTTCTGCTGGTGGCCTTGTCCCTCCCTCTACAGCGTACAGACACGGCCGAGGATGAAGCCAGTGCGAGAAGAGCAGAGCCAGGAGCGGAACATTGTGTGTCTGAGCACCTGGATCTCACGTGGGTGCCCAAGTCCAGGCACTTTTCAATTACGTGGGCCAGTAGCTGCATTGCTGGCATCTGTCACCCCAGGACGGGTCCTGGCAGCCTGTGACTGGGGGTCACACCTGTGATGACCAGCTGTGGGAACATGAAGCTCCTCAGGGCTTCCTGCACCCCCACTTCTGCCTGTAGGGCTCACCTCTAGAAACTTACCTATTGCTTTCTCTGACCTGCTCTTCCCACGCAGCAGGCACCATGATAGAATGGGGGGAACCCTGAACCCTGGTTCCAGCAACTTTTTGTTCCCTGTGGCCTACACCCTGGCCTGGCGGACCCTCAGGGTCTAGGCTCTCTCCAGTCACCCCGGCCTTCTGCGGGTGGGATCTTGTCCCTCAACTCAGTCTGCTGGGCCTGCTTTCTGGGGCCTGACTCTGCACCCCGCACCACACTCCACTTGCCAGATAGTGTTTTCTGCCTGCTGGGACATCACCAGCTGCCTGCTGGGACATCATCTCTGTTGACTGTCAAGGTGCCCTGGGTCAGGAAGCTCATAACTGCAGCTCAGACAAAGCAGACCTGCCCCTGGGCGTGTGAACCAGGCCGAGGGACAAGAGCGGAGGACAGCTGGGGACAGTCATTCTCCCTGTGGGATCCTGAGGTGCCGGCTGTCAGTTCTCATTACCTAGAGACTTGACAACACCCTAGTTGCTGCTGTCTTGGGCCTTGCTCTAAACAGATTTTTTTGTTGTATAAACCATTCACAGAACCTTCCAGCAAATCCCCCCTTTCACCTAAGTCAGCCAGAGTTGGTCTTAAACAAAGAACCCCGAGTGCCCCACCTTAGGGGGACCCCAGAATCCCAGAGGCTGTCCCCTCCCTGCCACATGAACACTTTCATGCCTGGCAGCACCCCAGGTTCCATGCAGCAATGGCAGTCGGGGCTGCCATTTAAATTCACTCCGTCTCCATGGGAGCCGCCTGTTCCGCTCCCCGTAGAAGTACAGAAGGCCTCCCCTAAAGTCATCCTGAATCGGTACAACTACTGTGTGTATGTTAAGCTGCTACTGCTTTACCCTGTAAGTACTTAAGGAACACGTTCTCTTTGATGTCTAGACTGCATGTTTCCTTTGCCAGATACAGAGCAGGAAAAGGAAAAAAATAAAAGGAGAAAAGGAATAAAAAGAATGGCTATTTCAGAGGCACATTATTACACAATTTGATACTATTCTGTACCTTTGTCTAATTCACCCGGCATTTCAGAAAGTTTTGTTGTGGAAATAAATCCCCCTTTGGAACTGGAAAAAAGCTCCACGGAAAGTGGCTAACGTGGAGACTGTGGCATGTTTGCTGGTGTGTCAACTCAGGAAAACAAGACACATGCGTTCATTAGAAGTGTGTCTGATACTGATTATCTGTACTCCACGTGAGAATAAGATTAGATTTTGGAAGCGAGAGATTAATGACTTTCTTTAGCAGCGACAAGCGTGCATGTGGACCTGCACGCCGATTTATGCGTGTGGGCTGAGGGCATCTTGTCTTCACTGGCACTCTGGGTAATGACCACTGAAGAAGCCTCATTATGAAAATGCCTTCTTTCTAAGCACTGGACAGAGCTCAAGCAATGCAGACAGGAAATTCTAAAGACTTTCTTTGGCCAGCCGTTCATCACTTGATTACCCAACCCTGATGGTAGGTCCACTTCTACGAGCCGGGCAATGCCTGCTTCTTCCCTTCTGACTTCCCTTTGGAGTCCATAGCACTTAGCAGGGAGCATAGACTTTGCAACTGTCCTGTTTCCATCCCAATCCCTCTGATAGGGATGCTGGACAACCTTGAGCAAGCTCCTGAGCCTCTCTGAATTCCTATTACCCTTATCTGTACATGGAATTAGCCAACACATTGCTCATAAAGTTGTAACGCTAAAGTCGGTCAGCTGTCTGAGATGCCCGGGCCATGTGAACTGGCTCCTCTCTCTCTCCCTTTAGGGACTGTGCTCAGAGTTGGCAGACCCCTCGGTCATTTGGGAACACAGCCCTGGAAATACCCTCCTCCCAGGTGGGTCTGCTGCTGGGAATCAGGTGTGGGGGCAGTGTCCCCGGGTAGCCAGCCGAATACCTCTGTGCTGTCAGCCGCTGAGCCTTCATTGTGCTACGTACTGCCTGCTCCCCCAGGTCACTAAACACCTTTAATTCAGTGCTAGTGTGCACTTGACAAGCAGCCCCTGCGGCTGGAAAGGAGAAGCCATCCCCGCCTGTCCCCACGTCTGGCCGGGAGCCGCTCACCCACCTAATTATTTGATGCTGCAGGGAATCCGGGTCCGTGGCATTTACCGTCAACAGCACGCTGCCCACTGAGATGTCTTCCTGCCTGGTCACCATCATGGGGTCTGGGTAGAAAACCGGGCCCTCGTTGACATCCAGGACGGTGATGTGGACGGTCGCCGTGGAGCTGGGGCCATAGGAGATGTCGGGCACCAGTGGGTCTTCATTTTCCACTTTGATCAGCAGGGTGTGAAAGGCAGAAATCTCATAGTCCAGAGGCTGGAAAGCAGAGAGGTGGGGCTCAGCATGAGGATCTGCCGCAAAGGGCAGATGCTTTCACACAAAGGCCCTCCGACATTCTACCAGCCTGGGGATGTTCAGGGACAGGCCAGACTTTGGGGGCAAAGCTTCATGCAACTTGAGGTCCTTTTTCAGAAAAAGGAGATAAAACTCACAGATACACAATTAGCTACGGGAGGTGGTAGCTATTTTAGACTGAGATTACGTGAGCCTCAGAGATCTCTTGTCTACGATCTCTTTCAGAGGCTCACTGGCAGTACTGACACCGAAAGGCCTCCTCTCCTGATGGGGCCCACTCCGGGTGATTTTGCAAAGGGGGCTGGTAGTACCTACCCACCCTTGCTTCCGTGTAGAATGAATCAGATCATGTTAAGGAGAGCCCTTAATATGCTAATATGGTGGGCCTCCCATCAAGCATATCACGGATGAATTCACTCGGCCACTCTTTCCAGACCACCAGAGGCAGTGGAAGTGACATTTCCTGTCACCCAGGGAATGTGGGGAGACACTTAGGTTATTCAAGCTCTTTTCCTAAGGTTTCCTGGGAATGGGAGGAGCTAATTCATCAGACCCATGACTCCAGACATTCTTTCTGGGAAGACGAGTTCAAGTGAGTAAAGGGGTTGATTTACACTCAACTAGAAGTAAGCCAAGGACAGCACAGGTGGCAAGGGGCTGGGGAAGTGGGAAGCTGGGGAAAGAGCCCTGCAGGCACAAGAGGTAGGATTCAGCATCCAGCAGGTTGAGCCAGAATGACTGTAGGCACGTACGTATCTTCCATAATAATTACAGCTAACACGTGTGTACTGCACTCCAGAAACGAGAGGTGCACACACATGTGCACACATGCACACATGGTCATGGAGGAAATGCATCCTGACTGTAACAGGACCCCCTCTGATCACCCAGAACAACTCCCAGCAGGGTCAGTATTAGGATTTTCAGTCAACAGATGTAAAGCTGTTGATACCTCGTAGTTACCCAGCTCTGTTCTGGTTCCGTCCCTGTAACACAAGAGTCGTTTACCCCTCCATCCTCCTTTGCATCCTAAGTGATACCCAAAACATGCAACCTAAATAAATTCCAAACATGGGCGAGGGATCTGCCACACTTAGAAAACAGTTCTTTATCCCAATTAGGGTAACGAAGGGGATGGAGCCTTGTGCTGGTTGGGTCGTGACAGCTCTGCTCTCTGGGTTGGCACCCTGAGCGGGACTGATGCTCAGGGTGCCCTGGTCTCCCAAGAACCTTCTCCACCCAACCCCAGCACAAGGCAGGCCCAGCGTGGCAAACCTGAGCACAGAGGGCTTCTTCTATACTGGCTCCCAGCAAGGCAACATCTTTCCGCAAACAGAGTTAATGAGAGCATGCTGCTGTGGTGAAATACTAAATCTAGCCCAGTGAATTTTCTACCACAATGAAAATGCCAGTAGGGAGAGGTTTTCTTGAATTTGTTAGCCTTGGAGGGCTTTTAACAGGCAGAGGAATTGCTGTTCAGCAGGAGGGCTGAGCTCCTTGTAGCAGGATGGCGAGGGGCAGACCCAGGCAGAGGTCAGGGATCCTGAGGGCAAGGGGATCTGTCCCTTTTACACATGACCTTAAAAAGTATTGCTCAAAATGTGTGTACCTTTACATGTTAGATATGTATGTAGCGCATTTGTGTTAGATAAGTCTATGTATGTATTTATATTAAATATGTTTGTGTACTTATCTGTTAGATGTATTTATTAGATGCATATGTGTATGTTAACATTACGTATGTGTTAGTGTATGTGTGCTAGACAGGTAGGTGTGAGTGTGTGTGCTGTGTGAGTGTGTGAAGGGAGGTACCTCTAGTTGGGTTATCTGAGACTCCAGCAACATCTGGAAGCAGAGCCTGAGGCAGGGATTTGGGTATATGTGGCTTCCTAGGGTGCCTCTGGAGAGGGAGAGAGCAAGGTCGTGGCCCCTGCTGGAGTCCAGCTCCAGCCCAATGTCCTGGGGAGCTTGGGAGCTATAACTGCACCACAGAATTAGTCTCCTCTCAAGGTAAGGGGACAGGCCTTTTGTACCCCCTGAGTCAGGCCCAGGCTGCAGACTATTTCTAGAGGGGAGGGCCTGGCCTCCCTGCCTGGGGCTCTCCTCCTGGGGAGGGCCACTGTGCAGAGAAGAGGATACAGGGAGCTCATCCGCCAGCCCTCGGAGCTCTGGCAGTGGAGTGCCAGCTGGGGCAGGGGATCTGGGTGGGCACATAGGCTTCCTGGGGCTGTGGTAACACAGTTCTGGGTGGCTTTGTGTGGCAGAAATGAATGATCTTACAGTTCTGGAGACTAGAAGTTCAAAACTGGTCTGTCAGCAGGGCTGTACTCCATCTGAAAACTCCGGGGCCACCTGTCTGCCACTTCCCCCGTGCTGGCCTTCCTTGGCCTGCAGCAGCCTCATCTCATCTCTGCCTCCACCACCACACGGCCTTCTCCCTGGGGGGCTGTCCTCATGTGGCTGTCTTATTATAAGAACACAATCATCTTGGGTAAGGGGCCACCTTATCCATGATGACTTCATCTTACTAATTATATCTGTGATGACTATTTTCAAATAAGGCCATGTTCACAGATTCTGGGGGTTGCAGTATCCTTTTTTGGGGGGGCATGATTCAATTCATAACATTGGGGTACCACAGCAACCCTGATGCCACCTGCCTTACTATATATTTGATCTCACCCTTCCTTATGAGGCAGGTGTTAGAGGGATGCAGGCGGATAGAGTTCAGGTACGCTGTGAGTTTCAGGGCCCTTATAAATTTCCAAAAAAAAAATCTCCAATTCAGCTCAGACCTCAGCTCTGATTGGTTATGCCCTATGCAAATGAAGCACTGTACTTTCAGCCAATCAAGAGTGGGTTGTTAAGTCATCAGTTCAGTTCTCTATTTGGTCTGGGGAGGGTGGGGCTTCCTCCTTCCAGGAGGCCGTATAAACCCCAGACACCACAGCCGTGATGGCATTCTCTCTTGGAGCACCTCTTGAGTAGCAGGGGCTTTCTCTTTTCACTCATTAAAAGAGCTCTGCTGGTTGCTCCCTCCTCTTGTCTGCTGGCGTTATTCTTCATTGCCTCTGAGAGACAATCCTGGGAAAATCAGCATCTTAGCTACTAACACTTATTTCCCAGGCTTTCCCCTACCCCTTCCTGTGTACCTGTTGTGCTAGCAGTGACCTGGCTGCATCCTCTCCCCTCATCCTCACCTCACCCTCAGAACAGTGGATAGTTTTATTCACGCTTTACAGAGGAAGAAACAGGCTCAGAAAGGGTAAGTAACTCAGCCAAAGTCTCACAGCTAATAAGTGTTATGAGCTGAATTTTGATCTAGGAAGTCTTATGAGAAAACTGAGCTGATAACAGCGAACTGCATTTCTCCATGTGGTGCTGTCTGGGATGCAGGCCTATCTCCTGCCTTGGCAGCTTCCCCTTTGCAGGGCCTTGATGTGGCTCAGGAGGTGAAAGTAAAGAGGTGAGAGCCAAGTAAAGAGGGCCAATTTCTGACCCTGTAACTGGGTAATTACAGCAACTATAGGACCGTCAGCATGTCCCCACGTATACAGAGTCTCAGCCTTCTCATTAGTCAAGTCCTAGCACAAAGGGTTGTAAAGATTGGGGCAGATGATGCACGTCAACCGTTTCAGCAGAGATTGTAATAACAAGGAGCTGTTACAATGGCAGGAAGAATGCAGGATGGGAAGAGCTAGAGAATGCCATGCTCACCCTGGATTCCAGTGCGCTCTCAGGCCGACAGTCCCTGAGCAGAATACTGACTGCTGAGGCATGCAGGTGGGAACAATGCCACTGGGAGAGGGGAGCAAGGAGGGTGGGCCACACGATGCGAGACTGGCCTTTCTGGAGCACAGGCCTGCCCTACTGCTGGCCTCCACCACACCACGCAGGCTGGAACAGTTCCTGGTGTGCGGTGCCCCGGGCCAGGATACCGGGAGCTGGCCAAACATGGGCCTCTGCTCCTGGACCGTTCTGAGGCCTGTCCTGCGTCATGTTGGATTGTGAAGCACGCCATTGCCTCAGGCGTATGACCTTCATGTGATTGGTCCGGGGCAGGGTCTCTGTGTCAGGGATGGAAGGACACTGAAAACACTTCCAATAAAGTTACAAAGATTCCATCCCTTAGCATTGCACCATGTGTCAAGGACATTGCAAACCACTGTCCTGGAAGATTCCAAGGCTGGGAAAGCTGTCCCACGCGGGAAGGCTGGAGAGCCTGGGGTTTGTTGTCTGGAAGAGGGAGGATTTGGAAGTGACCCAAGAGGGATTTGTAAGCCCGTGATGGGTTTGGGCCTCAAGGATGCCTGCTTTGTGGGTGTTTCCTCCTCCTCCTCTGAGAGGTGGATGATACTCAGCACACAGAGTAGCACTTTGATGGCTTTGGAATAGGTTTATAAGGAAACTAAGGGCATTCCTGAGCAAAGGTTTTAAAGAGAAAATGGGTATGTTTCTGCTAGACTGTTAGGATTTGGTCTTGAAGGGAGGACCATATGGCAAATTGTCTGGGGAACCCGTGGAAGAGCTATTTTCTTCCCTGAGGAGAGGAACACATGAGAGCACTCCATCTCAGTGACCTGGCTGCCTCCTTGCTTCCGCTGGAACAGAGCAGTGGGAGGATGTGATGTCTAGGGCTTTGGCAGCCCTTTTATATCCATGAGGAAAGAGCCAGCTGCACCTGCAGTACCCCCTGCTGGTTCCCTGACACCTTGACCTGCCAGCCAATCTTGGCTTATCTTCATGAGTTATGGAGATCATTAAATTCTCTTTATTATTTAAGCCACACTCAGCAGCATTCTATTACTTGCAGCTGAAAGCACTCCTAACTATTGCACGGTGTTGCCGGCAAAGTGGAGAGCCTGCGGAGCATGGCCAGGCCTGCTTCTCGAAGGCTGACCTGGGGCTTTGACTCAGGTGTGATGGAAAGCCAGTGAGGTCAAGGTCCTGCCTACAGATTCACGCGGCAGGCAGCTGAGGGGAGGGCGAGACTGTGTCACAGTTCTAAAGCAAAGGAAGTCCACTCACCAGTAAAACTGAAGTGGGAAGAGCCACAGGCTCCACGGGCACCTCCTCCCCAGGAATTGGTGGGAGGAAACCCCTTTCTGGTCCTACAGTGTTTGTCCAAAGGCTGTGCTCTGTGAACACTGGCGTGACCTGGGGTGCCTCTCCCTCCTGTTCTGACCCAGCAGGTGTGTGGGGCAGGCCCAGGAACCTGTGTCCTAACTAGCATTCTAGGTGAGTCTTCCTATGCTGACATTTCAGATTCATAGCCATGGGCCAGAGTGGGGCTGTGGGGAGAGAATATTTCTCAAGTCTAGTTTTGCTTGTATTTTATTTTTCTTGAGCCAGGGAGCAAACAAAGATCTGGAGAGCTGTGTTCCTCCAGGATTTACGATGTGGGTGGGGGTGTGCAGGCTCATGCCAGCACAGTCTTCTAGCCGCGGGCTGGAAAATTGCCTGGTGGCTGTTACCGATACAGGCTAGCACAGAGGACAGCCAGCAATTGCTACTTTACGACTTTTACAGCTTCAGAACTGCAGCGGTGGATGCAGAGGGCGGGATCAGGGGCTCCAGCAACTCCTACATTACCTGTGTTATTAGAGAAGAGAAACCAGGAAGACCAGGGGTTGCTGTTCTCAGCCAGATACCGGAGGTTCAGTTCGTACAGGGTAATGGAGAAAGCGGCAGAGTCTGGGAGAAACCCGGCCCCTCATGCTCTGCAGCAAGCTGCAGGCACCTCTGACATCTGCTGTTCCCAACAGCTCTGATCCCGCCCCCAACAGCTCTGGGGCCCGCCCCCAATGGCTGTAGGTCCCTCCCCCAACCGCTCTGGGCCCCGCCCCTAACAGCTATGGGGCCCTTCCCCAATGGTTCTGGGCCCTGCCCCTAAGGGCTCTGGCTCCGCCCCCGGGACCCTGTGGAACTTTATTGGTTCGGTTGTTGGTGTGGCCCTGGGCTAGACTGCAGGGTTGATGCCTGGTGCCTGTGAGTAATGGGACCTGACACAGCAGAAGGGGCTTCGCAGATGTGCTTTAAGCTAGGGGCCTTGAGACAGATGATTCAGGATGATATAGGGGGCCCAGCGGAATCACGAAGGTCCTTGAAAGGGGGAGGCAGGAGAGCCAAAGAAGTAGATGTGAGGATGGAGGTGGAGGGTCGGAGATGAAGATGCCCCCCTGCTGGCTGGGAAGGCACAGGAAGGGGCCAGGAGCCCCGGGGGTGCGAGCGCCTCCAGCGGCTGGAAACGCGAAGAAATCAACCCTTTGCTGGAGCCTACAGAAGGAGCCAGCCCCGCCGGCCTCAGCCCTGTGACCGGCCGTGGGCTCTGGCCTGCAGGACTGCAGGACAGCGAATCTGTGTTGCTTTAAGCCCCCCAGTTTATGGTCCCAGGAAACTCAAACGGCGTGTAGTGCAGTCACTGTTTTAAATGTTTGACAGGTAAATGCATGAATTCCTCACAAAGGCCCCAGAAGCCGGCTGTCTGACGGTCCTCACTTTACAGGTGAGGAAACCGAGGCACAGGATCTTGGTCAAGGGCATGGGGGTAGGTAGCAATGACCCTGCGCTGTCCGCTACCGTGATGGCCACAAATCTGATTACTCCCCTTTTGAGGCTAATGGATCCACCCACAGAAAAGAAGCTGTTCCCCTGATTGAGTGAGCTGCCCTGGCAGAAGTTGCCCCCACACTGCCCGGGAGAGGGGAAGCGCGTGCAAGTTCTATCTAGGAACCAAGACCCCGGCCTCGCACGTGCCTTGTTTCTGGGGTGGGCAGCACTCCAGTGGGCCAAGGCTTTACATTCACCACCTCTTCTGCCTGTAGCTGGGGTCAGCGTGCTGGCCAGCAGAGCCCCACAGGTGACCACCAGGAATTATCGCATGTGTGGGATTATCCCCTGGTTTTAAGAGAATAATTGAGACTCTGCTGAGAAAGATTAAGAGGAAGTGTCACCTGTAAAAGATTAAAAGGAGCGACAGGTCTTGAGCACAGGTCTTTATAAAACCATCTCGTATCCCACTGTTTTGCACATCTTTGATTGTCAAGCCTATGGGGAAGCTCATTTAAATATTAAGTTTTGTTTTCTTTGGGTTACATTTAAGTTTATTTTCTAGAACCCGTAAAACAGGTTGGTGTCATGATTATGACGATACAAATACATCCTGAGGCCATGAACCTTTTGCTTTTTTAATCAGACAGGAAGAGATGGGGACGAGGCTGACTTATCCTGACCTTCCCCACGCACGGAGGCCTCGGCCCTGCCGGGGCTCCGGGGCGGAGGGAAGCCGCCTTACCTTGACGACAGAAAGCATGCCCTCGTTGGTCTGCGGGTTGGTGTGGATCTCGAAGCTCTGCCCGGGGTTCCCGTTGATGATGGTGTAGGCGGCCCTCCAGGCGCCCGTGGTGGGGTCATCCTTGTCTTCAACTGTCAGGTTGACAATAACTCCCACGGCCCCTTCCTCGACTGTGGCTTGAAACTGCAAACAGAGCAAGCAGATGGTTGCTGCCACTATTTTGAGAATTCATAGCAAAGACCATTAGTGGAGCTCTTTCCATATGCGTGTCTTGGGCACATTGCCCATATCATCTCATTTAATAATCAATAGTACCATGGGAAGCTTATGATGCCATGCTGTGCCAACAGATGCCACGAAGCTCCTCCTCTCGGCCTTCCTTGCACTTAGGTGCAGCCATGAGACTGGCTTCTCTCCTACAGAATGTAGGCGCCAATGTTTCCCGGGTTGGGGCGGGACTGCGCTGGCCTGAGGGTTAAGAGAGCAGCTGTGCCTCTTCTCCGTGCCCTTCCCCTTCTCTCTGTCTGAACACGGACAGCCAGGGGAAGGTGGAGCCTCAGGGGGAAGGAGCTTGGGTCTCAAGTCGCCATATGCAGGGGAGCAGCCTTGCGGCTGGGTGCCCCTGTCCTGAACTGCTGCTAAATGAGAAACAAACTTCTGTTGAGTCTGAGCCTTTATACATTTTTGTGTGTGTTTGTTCTCGCAGCCTCACCTCCCCCTAAACGACAGGTGACCGGGTGACCAGAGGGGCATTGCTCCTGCGGATGACTGGGGTTGGAGCCCCATCGTGGACTTCAGAGACTCTGCTCTATGGGGCCATCTTCCTGAACCAAGAGAGCCGATTCCATTCTTCCCACCCCTTGCCCACAACTCGAATGGCTTCAGAAAACCATTTTCTAAGGAAACATATAAATCAATTGTTTGGAGCCTTGTTGTAGCTGTGTTTTTATTGTGATACATCTCAAATGCTTGTTGCAAGTAGGGGCAGTTGAAATCAATCAATAAATGAAAAATCTACTTTCCCACTGATAGAGAATTTCACGAGTCATCATGAGCATAGTCCTTTGAGCTGGAAGCATAAAGCATTGTTTTGGTGTTTACTTGTGACACACTACAGGTGAACAGTAATCTGTTTGCAAATATTTCACAAGTAATACTGATAAGCTGACAAGAAGAAGAAATAGCTTGGAATTTCAATTAATAAGAAAGTGAATCTACAGACAGTAAGGCGATGTCAAAAAACTCTTGTGTTCAAAGAAAAATAATTTGAGAAACGAGGTTTCAGAAGCAGCGGCTGATTAACTGACTTGCAAATCGTTAATCATAAGCCTTAATCTTGATGCTTTTGAGGGGATGGGATGGGGATGGGGACGAATTCGCCTATCATTTGTCAGCAAACCTGGGTGAGTTGTTTCCCTTTCATAAAAAGGGCACTTGGAAATCTTAGAGCAGGCACACAGGATGAAAGGGGGGCTGAAGAGAGGAGGGCAGAGAGGATGCTGTCACATAGACACAGCTTCAGGGGACCATCTCTGTGACCTGAATTCTCTGATTCTTGTCTAAGTAAGCCCTATTTTCTGTCTTTCCTTCCTCCTCAAAAAAGCATCTGGGCTCAGCAGGAAGGAGTGACATGATCGACTAGTACTGTCTGTCCTGTGTCCAAAAGTCGAATGTGGGGGCACATGTGCCATGTAATCCCTTCAGACTGAAGTTGAATATATAGGTGCAGAGAAGGAGATAAGGAAGGAAGAGTTTTTATCCCAAGTTGTCCAGTGAAACAAAGTCAGCTCTGAGTCTCTTAGATCCCAGTAATCTCTGCTTTTGACAAGTTCTGTCACTGATGCCACTCAATTCCCCACTGTTAGGCTAGTCCTTCAACCCTGCTGTGGTCCTGAGCCAGAGGACTGCTTCTCTGTCCCTACCAATCACAGCGGACCTCAGCTCATGACCTGCCCATGCGGCTCACCTGACACCTGTACCTGAGGAGACCAGGTGGACGATTACATGGGCAGGGAGTGTGCTAAGACTAGAGGATGCAGGGGACCACCAGTGAGATGGAAATGCTGTCCCATCCAATACATAGGTGAGAAGTTGCTTTATCAAAGCAGGTGAGTGTTACGTTGCTGGAATGAAGATACAGTAAGAACACATCATGACTTGAGGACACTTGAGGCTTCAAGTGTGTCTCTGTCTGCTCACAGCTTTCACTCCAGTCCCTTGCATGATGCCAGGAGCATAGAAGCGAGACAATAACTATTTATTGAATGAATGAATGGTCTTAAATATAGGAAATGGGATCTGGCATCAAAGATGAGGGCTGGGAAGAGATGTGAAGGGAGGAAGCTGTACGGGAGTGAGACTTAGAGGGACTGGCTCATTGATGGTGCCTGATTCTGCCACCTGCTTAAATGTTCAGAAGGGTGGGGATGGACCAATTTCCCTTGTTTTCTAGACCAGCTCCCGCAGGGCTGCATTATGGCTTTCGAGGACCTCAGCTTTGTCTACCTTTGTGGGCTCCGTCTCACCGTGATAGATTTTCACGGGCTTTAAACATTTCATTTTTTTTTCTGATGTGAGGGAAAGAGTTAAAATGTTCTTTGGCCCTATTTTTTTTCCCTCCGAATTTAGGACCCTCAGCACAATGCCTGTGGCTCCTGATGGACGACTCAGCCCTGATCCCCAGTACACAGCACAGTGCTGGGCCCATGAAGATCTGATGGCTGGACAGCTGCATTTGCAAGATCCGCATTTAGGTAATTTCTAGGTGAGAAAAGCCTGAGCAGCTTCTCCTGTGACACCTTTTCATGTGTGCAGCACCTACCAAAGTGGGGCCAGAACCTCTTTCTGTGTGTGAGCAAATGAATCCAGATGGGAGGAGAAGGTGGTATTGTTTTAGGAACTCTCAGTGTGTTTTTGTGTTCCTAATATATCCTTAGATGCAGTAATGCATCCACAGCCACATTCATGTGCCATCCACCCACCCATTCTTCCGTCCATCCATCCTCCATCTCTTCCAACTTACAGCGCCAGCCAACAAGTATTTGGTGAGTGGCTTCTGTGTGCCAGGCATGATATGGTATTAAATTCTAGTGTTACCCTAGTAAACAAAACAGACATGGTATGTGTATGAATATAAAAATAATACATGCTAGGAAAGAAAGAACATAGTTCTTGGAGAGACCATGTCTCTTATACACATACCATGTCTGTAGCTTAGGGGAAGTTAGGTGAGGGCGGTGCCTGGCCCAGTTTGGGGAGGGCCATTAGGGAAGGGTTCCAGAAGAACTGGAAGAGGAGAAGCCACTGAGATAGAAGGGGAGAGAGTACTCCTGGTGTCTGGAACAGCAGGTGCAAAGCTGGAGGCGGAGGGATCTTGGTGTGTGCATGGAGGAGAGGGAAGGAGGGGGAAGCTGGCGCTCGCTCGGGGAGGCCAGGAAGAACTGTTTGCTAGTGGAGCCCAGAGGAGGATGGAGTCAGATCACGCTGGGCCCTGCGGGCCACTGCGAAGCTTTGGGAATTTACCCTGAAAGCAAACTGGAGTATAATCAAGGTACTGGATTATGTTTAAATCTACTCTTGAGAGAACTCAGAAAAAAATCTTTAAATATAGAAAGCATTCAACACAATTATTATAGTCTTTGTTAAGACCATTATCTGATTCTTGCATAAACTATAAAGCCTGTTTCCTTGAGCATCCATTTAGAAACTCATTATTGCTTAATTAAATACTCATTCTATTAATTCTATTCAATGTTTTAACCCCATTATGTAATGCAAGAATGGAAAATTGAATAGATTAAAATGAAGTAGCACCATTTTATATTTCTATAGCAATGCTCACTTTGTGATTTAAAAACAATAGGCAGACATTAATTTACCACAGCAGAGCGGGAGGACTTATTGATTGTAATTGGAAAAAATAGATGAAGTTACTCTTCTATTAAACCATGTGGCAAAGCAAATACAGATGTAAAAAACATTTTTGTACAATCGGTAGGGATGCCTGGCTTGGGGTACACTGGGTGCATTAGCGTCTCTCTCCATTCAGAGTTGAGCTCTTCCATCCCCCTCTCTTTGACAAGGTGGAGTGGGCACTGAACATTCTGGAAGAGACCAGAGATCTTGTCACAGAGGTCAGCCACCCTTGGGTGGAAGAGGGACTGACATTTTATTTTACACTAGGAATAAATGCTCTTCCCCACAGAGCAAAGAGTCAGTCTCTAGGGTGAGGTTAACCTGGAAGATGGAAACATTAGTCAGCAGGCTGGAGAGCCACAGGTGGGGGAGAAGTGGCACTAGATGACTGTAGGGAACTGGACACAGGCAGGCCTGCATGCCTGACGGTCAGAGCCCGGTTCATGCGCTGTGGGCTCTGAGGCCGCAGGGAGAATGGATGCTGAACTTGAGAGGCTGGGACGTAGTCATCGGGGCCGTGGCTTTGGAAAATTAAAATTAAAATTAAAAGAAGTTTTATAAACCTGAATTTCATTTGTGAGGATAAAAGGGTGAGGGAGAGAGCTTTGACTTGCAAATACTCTGACGAACCTGTATTTACATAAAGGATACAGTTTATTGGAAAAATCGAATCTCTTGCTGATAACCTAATGGGTAGAAACTGGGATTGCTCTAAATAAGATAATATGTTTAAGGATCTTGGCACGTTGCCTGGCAGAGAGCAAGGGTTCAGTATTGTTAGTGATGAGAATGGTGGATTTCATTCTGTAGCATATGAGATGCTTACTAATAAACTGGAGAACGTGGCTCAACGTCCTGTGACTCTTTTTGTTCTGAACACAGTCCGCCTTTCAGTGTAGTTACCTGTGTAGAGCTCCTACTGCCCTTCCTCTGCGTCAGTTCATTTCTCATGAGAACTTGCCATGTGCCACGGCGGACACGTAGCAGGTGCTTCTGAGGGCGATGCCCTGCCAGGTCTGGCTCTGGGGCCTGAGCACCCACCGTCTAATCCCTGCGTGCCTCCTCTGCGTGACCTTCCTATGGAAGCTCCATAAATCTGCCAAACACAGACACACACGTTTGCCGCTAAAAAAATGAGCTTTCAGGAAGAACATGTCTTCTTCTCCACAGAACAATATGAAATACATAGCCGCTGGAGACTGGCTGGAAGATCACGCCGTTGGCCTGTGGTTCTTGAACTATGTTCCGGGAACCAAGCGTGTTTGAGA